GTCTGGTAGGTGCCAGCTCTGGAGGATTCAGTAGACGTACATTAGCACATTAGTACATAAGCCTGCATTGGGGGATGCAGAGACTTTGTACATTTGTTGAGTCATTATTAATACCAGGTACCTCTGCTAAGGTTTAGAAGTGTAGCATGTGAAAAACTAGGCAGGTGTTGGGGTCATCCTCAGCTCCCAATCGCTGCGGCTCTGTGAAGAATTTGATCAATTAAAGCCTGTGCTGTCCACACTAATTAGCTCCTCCTGAAACTTCTCTCGGTCGGGATGCAGCCTTCAAACCTCTGCCGCGCACCGCTCTCACCGCCGGTGCGCTGGCAGGTCTGCGGCGGTGCACTATTTTAACTTCCCCCTCTACCAAATAGATTTATTTTTTTCTGGCTTTCACTAACTGCTGCTCTTCTCTGCACAGTTAGCTGGCGGATTTTCAGTCTGCTTCTAGTAGGCCTCTTTAAAACATTATTGTGAGTGCTCAGGACTTGCATAAAATCTTTGCCTGCACAAAAAATAATTTCTGGAAGTTTCTATATTAAATGAATAAGACTCAATTCCAGTGGTTAGGGTTAGCTTTGGGTTAGGGTTAGGTAAATGAATGCAGCATGATCCCATCTGCACAGAGAGCAGTGGGAACAGCTCTCATGTGGCATTTGAGCGATAGTGGTTGAGCAGACAGATGTACAGTTATTGACACGGGGAGAGACTGTCTTGATGGAAGGATTATTTGTATTAGGTGACATTTCACTGGGGTCGCAGATGTATACACACACACACACACACACAGGCACAGGCACAGGCGATTCCTTGTGTTTATATGAGCCCGATTCATCTCGCTGTGTGCGGGTCAGGGCCCGAGCAGGTGGGGGGGCCCAGGGGATGTGGGCTCATTCTGACAGTGATTGAGGTTCGGAACGGGCCATGCTCTTCAGTAGGTGCCAATTAGCCCACCGCCACCTTGTGACATTTAAAGGAAAACAGCAGCAATCGGAATGATCAGTGCACACACACCATGCGCTTCCCCTGCATGCCCACACTGTCCTGGCTCACAGGTGATAACTTATTCTCGGTACATACAGTTTTGACATTTTTAATCAATTATTATATGAAATCCTGGCCATTGGAGAAACATTATAATAAGAATATTAGATTTTCTGACATTTCCCTGTCAAACAATAACACATGGCTAAGTCTGCAGCCGAGCTAGCATGTTGTCTCTTCCTGGACCACTTTTGTGGATTTTTATATCATGCTTTCATGCTTTTGTGTACATTTAAAGTCCTGTTTTTGTCAGATATTTTATACCTCTGGTTCAACTATTAACAAATATATATTAATTATCTTGTCATAATGTTATAGCTCCAGATAAGGAGTAACTTTGTTTCAAGGGCAGTCGGTGTTAATAAAATCATAAGTTCAAAATAAGGACTGACGTGATTCAGCAGTCATTGACAGATTCCTCAAAGCCATCAAACAATCTTCACTGTTTAAAACTGACACCAGAATGGGACATGTGGCCATTAACGTGAATATAGAGTTGCAATTGTGCTTCAGGAAGAACATGTCGATGTAATGAACAAAGGCATTCTAAGGAAACACTATTCATCATTTTCTAGAAATCATTATCACGTTGCGTTTTTAGCTAAAAGATTGCAAATTTTACTCATTAAAACCCTAAAACGAAGGAAAGGACTTTTTTAACATTTCTATTCTCGATTGAATGGAAAATACATATGTGCCTCGTTCCTAAGATTTACATAAGTAGAAAATGCTAATTAAGGCTGAGCGCTGTGAAAAAGTAAGATAGTTGGAAAATAATGAGGCAAGCCCCACAGCATTTTTTGTCCCCACGACATTTGCTGATCATAAAAATGCAGACTATTGCCAGGATTATCCTTCAACTGTTCAGTTTAAAAGTTATAAGGCATGCATGTTTAATGAAAACTGACAGACCAAGGTTCAGACAAATAAAACCAAGATTATCTTCATGGCTAAGAGCCACATGCACAAAGTCTTTATTTATGGCTTGGATGAACAGCCTCTTCAGTGTTTATGCTGAGATCAGACATCTAATAAAACCATATAATTCAACATATTTGGTGTTGAAATAACTCTGTCTGAAGTCATTTAAAAGGATTCCCACAACAGGATAACAACTGTTTTATGAAGCAGGTTTGTACATATTCCTTGTCATTACCTTTTAATCATTATTGGAAAGTATAATTCACTGAAAAAGTGAAATTCAAAACTATTGATTCACCAGTTAGCATGGACTAAACTGAAAGTGACTTCAGTTAAATGGAATCCAATATTTAATTTATTCCAAGGTTAAGAATTATTTAACAAAACAAATATATTCAACTTCTATTTAATTTGTTTTCACAGTGCAGTTTGCAGGACTCGCCTCATTTTCTTTAAAGCTGAAGAAGCCTCTGAGTGAACATACTTCTGCTATTTCTTCATTGTGTAATAGAGATTGTGCAGTGTCATATTTTATTCTGTGCAGTTTTGGCAGAATTCTTCTTTGCACATTTATCTTCAGAGCTCCTGAGTAGTCCTCAGCACAGGGCCAGAGTTTCTTTACCAGATTGTTCAGTTTCTCTGAATCACTATATCTCAGGCTGCAGCCTCAAATAACTTCAAAGCAAAGGCTGCACTTTCTACTACAAACTTTAATTAAACAGTTGAATAATTAGATTGATTCAATGCTGCTGTTTTCTTAGATTTTCACCTTTTTGTCCTTGCTGCTGTTAGTTTTTGGCTTTTGGCCTCTGGCTTGCATCAACTTTCAACCAATCAGTATTCAATCAATATGCACCGTCATTACTGGAACCTTTGTGTTGTTAGCTGTCTGGAGGATGGCCTGTCTATCCATCCCTGTTGATAAAATGTCTGAGAAGGCTGAAAGTGCCTGTGGGGTACTGACAGAAGATGCAGGAGATAAAAAACTGCCCTTAAAAAAGATATGCGACATTGTGGGGCGCAAACTAGAAGAAATGGGGTCTGATCCATCTCTTTTTGTGGACGGCATCAGTGTTGTATTTCCAGTTCAGTCTCTGCTCTGTGACTGTTCAACACCGTGCCGCAGAGTGGTCTACCACCTCCCTGCTCGGCTTCTTGTGCATTCAAACACCCGACAACTGCGGAGGCACTCTGATTCTGCTCTAATTTTGAGGTGTACAGAGGGAAACACAACATTACAACATTTGCCTTGTGTGTTGCTATCTAAATGCATTGTATCGTAATATATTCAGTACGTTGGGTGTTTGTTCCATGTGCCCGATGAGGAGACAGTTGGTAAGATTAATCCTGTTATATAGCCCAATAAAACCATATTTCATGCCCTGACTCTTTCAGTTTCTTCTGTCTCATCTTTTTGAATTTCATATTTCCCACATAAATGCTATATAAATACTCGCACCACAGTTATTTATGAGCAGTTCTGACAGGGAATTTCTAAATCAGGGCATTTTAAAACCATACAACAATAGATTTCTGAGCAATGCTGAGAAATGATGGTATTATCTCAACATGATGAACCAAAATGTTTGTTCAATTTAGAGACAATCACACTGTCTGTCACCTCTCCATTGCTTTCTCTAATTCTGTGTGAAACTCGTACAATACATGCATGTAGCAAAATAAGACTTTGGCTCGACTGCATTTTGAAAAATAGGATGGAAAAAAATCTGTGCTCTTTTTCTGTTAGGGAACTCAGCACTAAAATGCACACTGAGGCAGTCACCTGCACACACAAGCACACAGAGCTACACAAAGGCAGGGCTAGTATCCTCCCGAGTTTTCCCTGCTGCTGTGTCTATGAAAAATTTAAACAGGAGTGATCTCATCTGCTATTTTGAGCCCATCTCTGACCTAGGAATGTTTTAAAGCGCTAGTAGCTGTCTCTGATTTTCACTATGGTTGTCTTGCGCTTGACAAAACACACGTCATACAGATAACGCTGATATTCAGTATCCTCGTCTATATAATCTCCATGCTGTGCTTAATGCACAAAATTGCCTCCAAACTGGATTTTTCATCTTGTCTTGCAGCCATCGTTGTACTAAAACCCATCCAGATTTGAAAGCATGCAATTGCACTTATTTGTACATCTCTTCCAGCCACAAAAACATATTTCTATTACACGAACACAAGCATTCTCTCATCCACCTGCAGGATTCTCAGCAGGGAAGACGTCTGTTACTAAGACTCACAAGACTTACACACAATCATAGAGTATGTAACAAAGGCAGACGAGAAGAGAAAAAAAAAAGGTATGCTTCTGAAAGAACTCCATCAGCAAATTGAGCACATTTCAAGTTTCTCTGTAAAGTCCCCCGCTCAAAAGCTCACCACAAGCAAGGCTATCCAATTTCATAGGGAGAGCAACACTGCACTTGAGATAAATAATCTGGGTATGAAGTGTTGATGTTGGATATACAAATCTACCTGCTTTCTTTCAAAATTGCTATGAGGATTTCTACAACTATGAACTCTTAAAAAAGGTTCAAAAAGTTTCAAAAGTGACCATGTGCATGGGGGGGAGGGGTGAAAGGATGACCAAACAACTAGAGCACAGGATATTGTCCGTTTTTAGTAACCGTCAACAATCATGAAAATAATTCTGCCACGCTGAGCTCAAGAGAAGGTAAAAAAAATGGACTTTATCTTAAGTTTGTATCCTTTAGGCCACGGTAAAAAAAACAATTCATTGAATTAAGATACACTAACATTCATATGTGATACACAAAACTGTGTCAATATGCATCAACAACCAATTAGACCAATAAAACCAAAATAGAGCTGTGTACATTCTTCCCGCTTCCATGTAAATGAAGAAGGGGAACTACGACAATCGCACATTAAGCACCCCTATAAAGTCAGACGCAATGAGAAGGAGGAAAACATCAGCAACAACCTTTAAGAGGCTCTTTTTGTTGCAAGCATCAATTATTTTAGAGTAAGTGGTTGCGCTCGTGGGAATAGCTTTGCTGCAATTAGTTCATGCAGCACACCAGGAAACACACAACTGAAAGAATGCAGGAAAAACAACAATTTGAGAGGCCGATGACATCATAAAAACGTTTGCATTTAAGGTTATTTCAGCTAAAGATGGTTCTGTAAGGTAGTAAATAGTGGGGCGTAGATATTTCTTCATATTGTGCCTATGCATTTTTATTTCCTTGTTTTTGTTTATTGGGTCATTACAAACCAATTTGTCATTAGTTGTTGTTTATTTAAGGTTATACATGTGTGAGGCTTTTTAAAATTCTGATCAACACTTAATTAGTGTTTTATTTTTTGCAGTATGTTTTGCAAAATGTGCATAGCTGTGTATTATGGGACATCTTATGTGATGGAGCCACTGGTTTCTCATGAAGGTAATCCAAAATGAACAGAAATCAAGCCACTGTGATGGTTTACATAGACTGGACTGTACATAAAAGAATGGACAATGGAAACTTCTGGGGACAATACTGCAAATGTTCGGGGTTTTCCAAGGCTGCAGTGCAGAAATTCATTTTAAATATGACTTTATGAGTGATTAATGATGCTCGAACGTACCACTTTATCACCGCCTATAACCCACAGAATCCTCTTATTAACTGAAATCCAATTGTTTCTTTTGTAGTCTACCTGTGCAGATTCCCATGGATTGCTCATTTGGATAAAAGCTCACATCTGAAACTAATTTTAGATCCGCCGAAGCCGTGAATCATTCCTAATTTGTTTAGCACTCTAATTCAAATAAACAAAAGAGGTGCTTGATTGATGCTTCAGCTCCATCTTGATGAGGCTGACAGAGGGAGTGTGTGGACTAAAGACGGCAAACTAAGCAGAGATGTGCACTCACTAACAGATGCTTCATAATAGCGTGCGCTGTGAAAAGAGGGTTGCATCTCCACACAGCAGTACAGAGTCAGAAGCAAAAGAATCTGAAGTGCTTTGACGCACAGGAGAAGTTACTAGATCTTTACAGCATCACTGTGATGGAATTATGTTTTGAGGATGCATTAAGTAAAACCTAGCAAAAGATGGCAGATGAAAAATCCAGTTTAAGCACAATCTGCTGTAAGAACGCTTGAACTCTGAGCCGGTTTCACAATTAAGAACAAATGAGCTGCTCAACGAGGTGTGAGATGTTTTTCAGTCGATTAATATAAAAATGAGAGGCATTTTAAAAGCAGTCAGAAAAAAACCCTGTTTGTGTTAAACAACTGGGCTATTATGATTAATCACTTGGTGCTTGACTGATAAGCAAAACACTGATGGAGGCATTCTGAGCTTTAGTGTGTGGGATCGGTAATGAATGACCCGCTGATCATAGCTGCCATCTCCCCAGAGAGAAACGTTGAATACATGTGAGCATTAGGACACTCTGTGTTTTTTACATAACAAGTTTATCTAATGACTAAGAAGACGAACATTAGTCTCTGAAAATGCATTTAGGACGTGTGGTGGTTACAAAGAACGAGAGAATTACAGTCACCCATCGTAAAGGGATTATGTGAAAGCTTAAATTCAGCAACATTTTCTACGCAAACTACTTGATTTGTAAATTATTCATTTTTGTTGCCACATTTCATTTTTCTAATTCTGTTAAGCTAAAGAAAATCCGTGTCAACAAATTGAAATAAAGTGACCACGAAGTCCACATTAACAGACTCCTCGACTCATGTTTTACCATTCGTCAGGCTGAGTTTGGCTTATGAAAATAGGTACTATTTTCACAGGCTGACAAAATGCTCCAGAGCGTCTAGCATTAAACATTTCCCTCTGAGAGCTGGGAAATAATCTGTGAAAACTCCCCAGTGAAAACAGAAGCAGCGTATTTGTCATTTCTAAATCTAATAAACCTATTATACACACAAAAAACCCATAAAGACATCACCTGTTACACTCAGATGAATGGTTGACCATCTGTCTGAATAAAGGACACAATCCTGGTTCAATATGTTGCCTTTTCAGAAAATTCAGTTAACCAAGACAAGATTAAAAGACAGCATGTTTTTTAATGAAAGACACAAGTTTCTATCGCGACTTCTCTTGAGCTCTAACATTCAGGGCTAGCTCTTGTGAGTCCTGCTGTGTACCTTCACAGTAGGCGTTATCGTCCCGCAGTGGGCGGAAGCCATCCTTACAGACGCAGCAGTCTCCTGCCTCCAGGTTCACGCAGTCAGAGTGCTCCACGCAGCCGTGACCCTCCGAGCAGAAATCATGACCTGCAGGAGGCAAGATGAGGAAAAGGTTAAGGCACAGTCGTGAATGGATTTTTCACTAATATCCTCAGTGGAAAAAAAAAAAACATGATTTCATACATGAGTGAAATACCAATTTGCTTTGCTATGGCTTATCAAATCTGATTATTTCTAACCCTCCAAATGTCAAAACACACACACACACGCACATCTTTACTATATATATATATATAGTACAGATACTAGTGGAGTAAAAGTTCAAATAACTAAACTAAACTGGGAAACGTTTGAACGTCATTCAAAGATTTTCTCTTCTTCTGATATCAGTTTTTCCCCTAACAGTAAAAAAGGCACGTCAGACCCCAATCAACTCAAAAAGTTATGCTTGTTTCCACATAATTATGAAAATAAGCACAGAGCAGCCCAGATATGGAGTCATATATAGAGATCAAAAAAAGTACACACGCCAAGGAAAGTTGTTTTTTCTACACACATTTGACAGTTTCATGTCTTCAAAAAGCACAAAACTCTACTTCTAAATTGTTTTCCGAGCCATAAAATGAAGGTAAGATTAGAAAGTAATTAAATGATATGGTGAGAAGGGAGCCTCGGTCATACCTCTGCACACTTTGCAGCATCTACTGCTCAGAGCGATCTGCTCCGACTCTGGGCAGTTGAGCTCTGGACAGGGCTCACTGGGGACCACTCGATGCATGGACCGGTCCTGTAAAGGGCACAGATAAGATCCTCGTGAGCCGTTCTGTGGGATAACCCCGCTCCCTCCTCATTTACTCAAAGCCTGAAGGTAATTATGAAGGTAATTATTCATCTGTTGTCTTTCCTCTTTCTCTGCCCCGCTCCCCCTCCTCCACGTGTATTAATTATGAACCAGTTTCCCATTTGTTACTCACAACTCTGTTTATCCTTAAGGTATCTAAAAGCCATTTGCAAGGGGATTTATTTAGGGCCACAAACAGCGAATCAATCCTTTGGATAATCTCTG